GTCGTGGGCCTTGAACTCTGGGCTTGGGCGCTGTCCCTCAGTTCTTCAGCTCAAGGCGAGTGCTCTACCACTTGAGCCACAGCGTCACTTCTGGCTTTCTAGTGGTTTACTGGGGCTAAGAGTCTCATGGAGTTTCCTGCCTGGGCTGGCTTTGAACCGGGATCCTCAGATCTCAGCCTCCTGAGTAGCTAGGATTACAGGCGTGAGCCACCAGCACCCGGCTCATTCTTAAGTCAGAAAAGGATCTTATTTTTGAATTTCACAGAAGAGTATATAGTTGTAGAATGGTATTCACTGTAGCAAACAGACTAGTAAGCTCAGAAGAATTTAGATCTGTCTAAAATGTGTTTTTATGTTTTTTGATATTTACTTTGTGAGTGCCATGTATTTGAGTTAGAATGTTACTTGACTGTACTTTTAGGATCTTCCCGTTCATTTGGGAGTCTGTAGGCTGTGAACCACAGGAATTTCCTTAGCATTCCTGGGAACATTTTAAAAATTGGAGTAACTGAAAGGATAAGTACAAAGAGGCATTTTTTGAAATTGATACTGAAGCAGTATCTTAAAACCAAAAATGTTAGTGGATTGGAACTCTATTTCTATTTTCTGTTTCATGCTTACTTAGGAGATGGGGCAAAAGAACATACCTCTTCTAAGTAAGAACCCATTATAAGTAAATAGAAGTAAAAAACTAATTTTTTTCTACAGATATAAATTCTGAAAAAGAATATAATTGTTTAAAAATTATATGTTGAGCCAAGCACTAGTAGTTCATGCCTGTAATCCTAGCTAATAAGGAGGCTGAGATCTGATGTGATTCAAAGCCAGCCCAAGCAGGAACATCTGTGAGATTCTTATCTCCATTAAGCCACCAGAAAAGTAAGAAGTAGAATTGTAGCTCAGTGATAGAGCACTAGCCTTGTGCAGAAAAGCTTAGGGACAGTGCCCAAGCCCTGAGTTCAAGCCCTGGGACCAGCCTGTGCACCCACACACACAAATCATGCATTGTATGATTCAGACCACAAATTTGAACAAATTTTTTCCTGTTTGCATTTCCCTGTAAATGAATACACTCATCCTAGTAAGACCTATGATTATAATAATTTAAATGCATATATTTTATGTCCCATTTCTAAATGATCAGGAAAGTGAGTTACTGAGGTTTGGTAGAAGCTGGAACTTGTGTTGCATAACATGTTCATATGGCTCTAGCTTAGTTTTGTGTAATAATGGTGATGATATAATGGAGGATGGCCAAAGTAACATGTTAACATTTACATAAAGCTCAGGTGTTATGTCAAATAGCTGTAATTCCAGCTACTTGAGATGCTGACGCAGGAGGATCACTGGACTCAGGTGTTTGAGGTCAGCCTGGGCAACATATTGAGACTTCATCATGAATTATGAGGATTAAATGTCCTAACTAAATCTATTTTTCCATCCCTTTCTTCTTCCTTCCCTCCTTTCCACCCTCCATCCATTCTTCCCTCACTTTTCTTTTTCTCTCCCTCCTCCTTTTTCTCCCTCCTTCCTTTTTACCCTCCTCCCTTCTCACCCTCCCTCCTTCTCTCTTTCCCTCTTCCTCTTTCCTTTTTCTTTTTTTGTTGGAGATTGAATCTTGGGCCTCATGTACACTAATAATAAGCTGTACCAGTGAGTTCTACTCCTCAGCCCCCAACTGGATCATTTTGAAGATAAAAATTGGTTTAGAATTGTTATAATCAAGAGGAACAGTAGCATAAACTGAGTGAGGGATTAGAATTAGAAGGCATTGGCCAGAAGTCTATATAAGAATTGAGGTTGTAATGCTAATGTGGATTTAAAGGGTACCATGTATCTAGAACAAGATATTCACATTTGAAATTAGACAATCCAGGTGTGTTTTTCAGGGCTAGATTTAGGAGTTTGAGAACCAGGAGTCCAAAAGCAAGGAAATTTAGTATATATGGTCTGACAAGGTAAAATACCTGAGAAGTTGGAGAACAAGGTTAGAGATGATGTCAGTTTTTAGGAATACTCATAAAGTTTGGAGACCAGGGTGATATGGTTCAAATAAAAAGGGCGGTGATGGTGCCATTTACTTTATATTAAAAGTAGAAGCATCTCTGTGTCCTCAGACAGCCAATATAAACAGTAAGGTAGAGAGTGAAAGTGTGGTGGCTGAATTGTTATCATTGCATCAGGAAAGTTTGATGCATAAGTATTTTCTTAGAGATGGGACCATGATGCTTATAGGGTCATAATATCATCATTTAGTTATATGATACATGCATTTGTGTGATATATATACACATATATATGTATATACATATATATGTGTGTCTATATCTATATATCTATCTCTCTCTATATATGTATACATAATTCTACACAGCCATCCAAAAGGTTTTGACTTCCTGACCATCATGGCATCAAGAAACCTCTGGAATGTGAGCAGTAACATTCTTTTTGGTTCAAGATGTTGTATAATTCAATTTTCAACAGAAATCTTCCTCAAGACAGCTTCATTTAGGCCATTTGGTGTGAAATGTGATAATAAAAATGGCAAATCTTTGAAAAACAAGGATCTGCTGAATAACCTACTTACTCTGGGAGTTGATATTGACAAGGCAAAGAAAAGACAGCCTGGAGTTTTTAATAGGATGGAAACTAATGAGCAGACTTTGAAGATATTCCTTCTGTCAAAGGGAGCTAGGAAAGAAGTGATTGCTAGCATCATATCAAGATATCCACGAGCCATAACACGCACTCTTGAAAGTCTTTCAAAACGATGGGAACTGTGGAGAACAATTATGACATCAGACCTGGAAATTGTAAATATTTTGGAACGTTCTCCTGAATCTTTTTTTCGGTCTAATAACAACCTAAATTTAGAGAATAATATAAAGTACCTCCTCTCAGTTGGGTTGACCCATGATTGCCTTTGTCGATTGTTGACCAATGCCCCTCGCACTTTCTCCAATACTCTTGATTTGAATAAACAGATGATTGAATTTTTGCAGGAAGTCTCTTTGTCCTTAGGTCACAATGAACCCATAGATTTTGTTCAGAAGATAATTTTTAAAAATCCTTTCATCTTAATTCAGAGCACCAAGAGGGTGAAAACTAACATTGAATTTTTACAGTCAACTTTCAACCTGAACAAAGAGGAACTTTTGCTTCTAATATGTGGTCGAGGAGCTCTACTCCTAGACCTTTCCAATGACTATGTCAAAAGAAACTACACAAATATAAAAGAAAAACTGTTTTCTCTTGGATGTACTAATGAGGAGGTGCAGAAATTTGTCTTAAGCTATCCAGATGCAATCTTCTTGTCATATAAAAAGTTTAATGATAAAATAGACTGTCTCATAGAAGAAAAAATTAGTATTTCACAAATAATCAAAAGTGCTCAGGTTCTAGACTCAAGTATAAGTACTTTGAAAAGTCGAATCAAAGAATTGATACATGCTGGCTATAACCTGAATACATCGAACATTCTTCTCCTATCATGGAGTCAAAAAAGATACAAAGCTAAATTGAAAAAACTGGGTGGATAAAATAGTGCTGGCAGAGTTGAAAAAGAGTCTTAGAGTGATAGAATTGGCATTTGTCCTTGCTAAAAGTTAAGTATTGGTAACCACAGACACATGTATAATGATATATTTTTTTGTAAGTTCATTAAAAACTCATGTTTTGTAGGCTTATGAATAGCTCAATGAGACCACTATCCAGCTTCTAACCTACAGAGCTGTATGAATAAATCAGTGTTGCTTTAAATCACTAGTTTGTGATAACTTACTATAGTCACAAAAATTAATATGGAAATTGAATAGATGATTAGTTACATTGCAAATAAAGTCACAAAATAGAGTTCCCTTATTTCTGTATATATTCCTCTTGTAAAGCGAAATTATACCTTAAAAAAATCTGCCTATTTTTATGGAATTACTAATATGAAGTCTATGAAGTTCTCTACATGACTGGCTAAAATATGGATGGGAAATAATAAAATGTAAAAATATTTTTGCTTAATAAATATAGTATAAAGATGGTGTCCATCATTTCTGAACCTTTATATTTTATTGTTATTTCATCTAATGTAAATAAATTCCTAAAGCATTGACTTAATATACGCTTATATCTAAACCTTGAGCATATTCACAATCTAACTTTGATAAACACTGAAAAAGATGGATCAAGTTATATGACCTTAATTTTTTATTATTTCCAGAGGTATTTATTTTTTATTTATTTTTTTGATGGTCATGGGGCTTGAACTCTGGGCCTTGACACTGTCCCTGAGCTCTTCAGCTCAAAGCAAGGGCTCTACCACCTGAGCCACCGGGCCATTTCCGGTTTTCTGGGGTTAATTGGAGATAAGAGTCTCACGGACTTTCCTTGCCTGGGCTGGGTTTGAACCACGATCCTTAGCTCTTAGCCTCCTGAGTAGCTAGGATTACAGGTGTGAGCCACTGGTATCCAGCTTATTTTTAAACCCTATTTGCTATCAATGGTGCCTTTAAAATTTTGTACCATTGATAGGAACAAATGCCTACATTTCTAATGCCATTTAATATGTTCAGTCATACTTTATTTGTGTGATGTTGAAGTATGAACTCAGGACCTTGCACTTGGTATTCTGAGCCACACCACTAGCCTTTTTCACAAGTTAATTTTAGTTTGCAGGGTGTGTGTGTGAGGGGGTGTGTGGGAGGGTGGGAGGTTGGGGAGGGTGGGTCTCAATTTCTTCCCAGATGCATGGCTGGACTGAGATCTGCCTGTTCTTGGCTTCACACCATTTTTGGGGATCCCAGGTACACACCATCACATTTAGCTTCCTTTGAGGAGATGAATTTTTTTTTCTTGGTCAAGGTGATGTACAGAGGGCTTACACTTACATAAGTAAGGTAATAGTATTTCTTATCAAACTTGTTACTCCCTCATTTTTCTCTTACTTTCCTGACCCCCACCCAAGTTGTACAGATCATTTCCAACATACTGTTTTGTGAATATCACTGTTGCATTGTTTTCCTCCTTTCCTTTGTCTCACCATTCTGTTGTTCCCCTTCCCTTCCCTAATTCAAATAAATGTATATACAATACCAGGCTACCAAAATAAATTACAGTGACTACAGGGGATAAGCCACAGGGGAAAGAACGCACAAAGAAACAAGAAATCGCATAGTACATTGGAAACAACAACAAAGAAAAACCTCTTGTATCCATGTCTTGGAGTTCATTTTGCTTAGCATAATCTTATATAAACGATATAAGCTATATATAATAGATACTGAGCTATTCTGTTTATCTGCTAAAGATTATCCTAGATGTATAGGAACTATTGAAAATAAGAGAAACCATGGGACCTATGTTTCTTTGGGTCTGGCTTACCTCAATATGATTTTTTCCAAGTCTTTCCATTTCCTTACAGATGGAGTGGTGTAATTCTTTCTGATGGAAGCATAGAATTCCATCGTATGTACTACATTTTCCTGATCCACTCATCTACTGAGGGGCATGTGGGTTGGTTCCATATCTTAACTATGGTGAATAATGCTGTGATAAACAGTTGTGCTGGTAGCTTTAGTATGGCCTTGTTGTGGCTATTTGGGTAAATGCCCAGAAGTAGGATTGCTGAGCCATAGTGAAGTTCTATATTTAGTCTTTTGAGGAACCTCCATACTGCTTTCCAGAATGGTTGAACAAGTTTATACTCCCACCAACAGAGCAATAGCATTCCCTTTTGGCCTCATCCCCTCCAGCATCTGTTGTTAATAGATAACCACTATAGCTGGAGTGAGGTGCAATCTCAATGTTGTTTTGATATGCATAAAGTCATAGCAATAAAAACAGCTTGGTACTGGCACAAGAACAGACTTGAGACCATTGGAATAGAACTGAAGACCAGAAATGAATCCAAAGACCTATAGCCACCTAATCTTCGATAGGGGAGCCAAAAAAAAAATAGGGTGGAAGAAAGCCTCTTCAGTAAATGATGCTGGCAAAATTGGTTAAACACCTGTAGAAGACTAAAATTACATCCTTATATATCACCCTACACCAGAATCAACTCCAAATGGATCAAAGACCTTGAGGAAAAGTAGACACCCTGAAAACATTACAGGAAGGAATAGGAGAAACTAGGGGGCTCCTTGACACAGGCCAACATTTTCTTAATAAAAACTCAGAAACACAACAAATCAAAGAAAAGTTGGACAAATGGGATTGACTGAAACTGCAGAGCTTTGCATGGCAAAGGACATAGCTAGCATGATCAATAGAAAGTCCACAGATTGGGAGATCTTCACTAGCCTTACAACAAAGGCCTGATGTCTAAAATATACTTAGAACTCAAAAAATTAAATTCTCCCAAAAATAAATCCTCAAAGAAACAATGGCCCCATTAATAAATGGGCTAAAGACTTAAAGAGAGACTTCTCTGAAGAGGAAATAAGGATGTCCAATAGACACATGAAGAAATGCCCAACATCTCTAACCATAAAAGAAATGAGGAGATGAATTCTTAGGACTTTCCTGCCTGGGTTCTGTAACTGTCATTCTCCAGATATCTGCCTCTCATGTTCCTTTTGATAAAATGTGTATCCTACCAAGTTTACCTATGTGTTCAAAAGAGACCTTAAACTTATCCCCAGGCTGGTTTTGAACTTTGATCCTTTTAAAAATTGATTTTTTATTTTTAATTCATCTTTAAGTAGTTGTACAAAGGATTGCATTCAACAGTTTATAATATAGTGAATCTTGATTGATGTTATTCCTTATCATACTCCCTCATCCCTCCGATCCTATCCTTTCCCTCAATTTTCTTAATTTTATAGGATATCCATTGAATTTTATGACTGCATTCTCTCCCCTTCCCCTTTTTATTTATTTATTTTTTGTCTCACCCCTCCCCTTAACCCATTTCCTCTCCTTTTGAGTACCCGTTTCCTGGTATTTATTTTGTTGGGTATGAATTAGCCTTTCTAAGGAATTACACTGTTTGAGTTCTCCGTGAATCTTCTATATTTTGGTTAATATATTTGTGTACACTTAGGTACTACCTGAAATGTTTACTTATATATTTATAAGTTAATTCTAGGTTCCACAGATGAGAGAAAACACATATACTGTGTCTCTAGGCCTGACTTAACGGAAATTCTTCAAGGTCTTTCCATGATATAATGATATAAATACTATTTATATATGATATAATACTATTTTTCCTAATGTATGAGTAAAATTCCATTGCATATATACACGATATTTTTTGATCTATTTGTCCTTCTAAAGTTACTAAAGTTACAAATATGAGCTATGGATACTCACAGTGTTCAATAGTAGTAGTATTCAGTGAACTATGTGGTGGTAACTATGGCATAGTTTAGAAAACATGGTCTTTGGAAACATTTCTTTAGAGAGGTAAATGTGAACTGTACACAGTCTCAAAAAATCCAGTGGATTTGCTGGGCACCAGTGGCTCAGGCCTGTAATCCTAGCTACTCAGTAGCTTTAAGGATTGTGGTTCAAAGCCAGCCTAGGCAGGAAAGTCCGTGAAACTCTGATCTCCAATAAACCAGAAGTGGGGGGAGGGGAGAAGGGAGAAGCTGGGGAGGTAGGGAGGAAAGGGATGATAGGGGAAAAACAAGGAGGAGGTAACAATGCTTGATAGGAAATGTACTCATTACCTTACTCATGTAACTAACCCCTGTGTACAGTATCTTTACAATAAAAATATATACTAAAACAAAAAACCAGAAGTGGCACTATGGCTCAAATGATAGAGCACTAGTCTTGAGCTGAAGAGCACAGGGATAGCGCTCAGGCCCAGAGTTCAAGTCCCACAACCAACATAATAAAAAAAAATCCAGCGGCTATGTTTTCTTATATATAATTTGGCCTTGAAATGTTAGGAAAGATCAAATTACATAGGATCTGTAAGGTTTCTTGCAGATAGTAGTGCTTATCCAATGTTAGCTGTAAAAAGATACAGTAGTATTTTTTAAAAGAAGATTTAGTGATATCGTATGTAATGTATTTTTTTAGTTATAGGATGTGTAACCATTGCCACAATCTCACAATGCCCCCTGAGAGAAACCCTTCATCTTTTAGCTGCCAATCTCTCATTATTCTCCCTATACTCTTGTATCCTTAATCTTTCAGTTTCTATAAAATTTTTTTCTGTGCATTACATGTAAGTGGAATCATATGATACTAGATTTCAACTTAGTATGATGTTTCCAAAGTTTATCCATGCAACACATATCAACATTCTACTGTCAGACCATAAGGCTATTATATCTCATACACCAAAAGTAGGACCTAGTAGAGATCTAGGGGAAGAATATATTGATGGCAGAGCTCTTGCCACAAACTTTGTGAAAACAGTCCATTGTTACAAAGGCCAGGAAAAACTTGACAGAACAGCAGCGCTGAGTTACTAGATTTTGGGAAGAGATCATACCAGAAACTCACCATTGATTGAGATGGGGATAAGCTGTAATTCATAGTCATCATGGTCCCCTAGGAATTATTTCTGGAGGGACAAGGTCTTAGTTTTGATGGGCTGCTGGGGGACTTAGGAGAGTGGTGTTTTAAACTAGCCAATATTTTCCTGTACTGGGGATATTCACAGTCAGTTTATGCCCTATTTTTTCAACAATTAATAAGACTGGGCAGGGATAGGGTTAGTTTTGAGGTGTTTGAGTATCATAATCAGGTAAGTGTCATAGCCAGACCATCTTTATCTTCTTGCTTATTTTCACATTTACATTTCTCATGCCTCTACTTTCTAGTTCTTTTCAAGATGGCTGACACCTGCTCTTTTTTTTTCACCCCTCTTACCCCCTTTTATTTACAAAGATGAGAGAATAAAAAGGAGTCAATGTATATGTAGATTCTTTGGGGGCTAAGATTTAAACTATTTGTTATCAGGAAGTTTAAGCCTTTTTTAAATTTCTGAGTGAAACATGAAGTGTGGTGTGGTGATAGAAGATACAATGATAGAATCTCACCTGCTATCTGTCCCTGCCAATCAAGTTAGTATTTGGCATTTATTTTCCTTAATAGTAACATCAT